TCGGTTTTGGGTTGGTGAGTTGGTTCAGCTGGTAAAAATGCTTGTTGTACAGCCCTGGTAACCTGAGTTTGATTCCCAGAGCCCATGTGAATGTAGATGGAGAGATGCAACTCCATAAAGTTGTTCTCTACACATATACATCACAAAAATGTTAAATCATAAAAATGTTAAATCATAAAAATCGGTTGAATTTCTTTTCTTGTTCGAGAGACAGGGTTTCTTTGTGTAACCCTAGCTGTCCTGGAACTCCCTTTGTAGACCAGGCTGGCCTTGAACTCACTAAGATCTGTCTGCCTCCGTCCACCTGAGTGCTGGGATTAAAGGAGTGTGTCATCACTGCCCCACTGTGCTTTCATTGTGAATTTTAAGATGGAACTCTTGCAAAGGTTCTCTTACGAGTTATCACTGCAAAACACAGTGCTTGCTCCAGAGGGACTAAGTTTATTGTGGCATCAGCTTTCCTGGAACTGGAGTTCTGGATAGTTGTAAACTGTAAGCATTGCAGCTTGGATGGAAAGGGATCCTGGCAGTAGGGAACCAGAGAATACCACAAAGTCACCATAAGCATAGCAGCTTATAGCCTGTCCATGGAAAGGTTTCCCCAGTGTAACAACTTTTTTCCACTAGGGGGAGGTGTCCTCAGTAAAAGCCTTATTGTTCTGCTCTTCTCTGCTCCTGCAAAAAGTTTACTTCTCTGCTAGGCTCCAAGCCTGTGAAAGAAGGTCTTACCCAAACCTTATTCAAGAGATTTATTGGGAGGGAGGAATCCAGGAGAGTGGCTGCCTCTGCCAAGGTAGAACAGGGCAGCAGCGAACAGAATAGGCACAGGGCTTATATAGATCTTTTTAGGGATAGGGGTGGAGATTTTCAGGTTGGGATTTGGTTGGATTTCAATCCCTGAGTTTGGAGCTTAGGGATTGCCTGGATTTCATGCTCAGGGCTGAGCTGATCAGGGGCAGAGTGTGTTTCTTTGGTTCTGGTTTCAGCACTAAACCAATGTTTCTTTTATTGGCTCTTTTAAACATTTTGTCTCTGGTTTCAGAGCCAGGATGTGTTTCTTTGGCTGGCCCCTTTCCCTTACATAAACCTATCGGGTGCTAGGTACACAGCCCAAGACCTTTACAAGAGCAACAAGTGCTCTTAACCATGGAACCATCCTTCCAGCTCACTGTACCCATTTGTAAATACTCCATTGCCATTCCCAAACTATTCTCAAGATGCATTTAACAGCGATGATTAAGCCCATTGGGCTGAAAACTTCTGAATGGTATTGAGTTAATTCTTTCTTATATTTCCATTGCCTTGCATACAAATGGAAACTAGAATTCCCTTTTCCCCATATTTTTTCTTCTTTTAAGATTTATTTTTATGTATACTGGTGTTTTTTGCTTGCATGTATGTTTTCATAAGAGTACCATATCCTTTGGAACTGGAGTACAAGCAGATGTGAGCTGCTATATGGGTGCTAGGAATTGAACCCAGGTCCTCTGGAAGAGCAGTCAGTGCTCTTAACTGCTGAGCCATCTCTCCAGCCCCACAGCCAGTGAGTGCTCTTTAACTACGGGACCATCTCCCAGCCCCAGTCTTCCTTCTTCCTCTTCCTTCTTCTTTTTAAAAATAGTTTTGAGACAGGATCCCACTGGGTTACCCAGACTGACATGGAACCGTATTGTCTTCAGTTGCAAAATGGAAGGGATTTCACAAAAGGAAAAGAAGACATTGCTGAGTGGAGGAAGTGTCAGGAAGCAAGGGAATTTAGAATAGCAGGTGGCTGGGTGATTAAGCTTCTCAATTACACAGTAGTCCATGCTTGCAGTTTTAGTACTCAGGAGGCAGAGGCTAGAGGATCATAAACTTGAAGGAAGCTAGCCTAGACCACACAATGTGTCCCTGTGTGTGTGTGTGTGTGTGTGTGTGTGGTGGGGGGGGGCAGGGTAAAACAAAACAAAACAAAACAAACAAACAAAAACCCAAACTCTTTAAGGAAACATATTTGAAAAAATCCTTTCCATCAGTAAAAAAAAGTGTACTCGTGTTTTTGGAGTTCAGCCAATAGTTGATTTTTGAATGTGGAAATGCATCATGTTTGGGTCATAGTGGACAGTCAAGGTGAGAGCAAGGGTAGGGAGGAGGAAGGCTCAACGTCATTTCTGTATACAGGCATTTAGCACTTGTGTTCAAAGATCATGGAACAGAAATCTTTTGCTGAATTAGCTGTATATGGTAGTTCACGGAGAAGTTTGGTAAACATCAATGACTTGTCATGGAATTAAACTATGTGGAGGAGCAAGGATGACCTTAAATCCCCCTGGCCGGGGGGGGGGCGGTTGTAGCTCTCTCTGATGTTTGGTGTCTGGCACGTAACAGGAATTCGGGATGTATTTAATGACTGATTATAGCTAACAGGATGAAGAGGGAAGGGTCATTACAAATCACTGAGAATCCACTGCAGAAATACAGAGACCAGAGGACTCCATATACATCTTCTCAGGTTTTCTGAGGTGGCCGGTGAGGCAAGAATGTTCTAATCCAAGATCCGGGTCTTCTGGGAGTCCCCAGACCGGCCATTTCCGGATTAATCCCCACCCACCCACAGTGCTTCCGGTCTCCTGCGCTGGAAGCGGCAGAAAGGTAAGCTTGCGTCTCAAGGACATACATGGATCTTGGGAGTCATTCCTGGCCCAGGCAGAGGCGAACCCAGGCGAAAGCAGCCCTTTAATTTTTGCGACACTTAGCACTTCGCGGCAATTATTCCTCTTGCGAAGATTACAGGTCTCGGGTAACGTCACTTCCGGTCACCTGGCGGTTGGCCAAATCTGGACGTGACGTCAGCTCCACTTTGTTTCGGGAGGAGTCAAAGCTGGTCTTCACATTTCCTCTTTTAACAACCCGAGTGCACCTGAGTTGGGAAGGTGTAGCGTCTTAGAGTTGGGGATTTGGCAATTGAAAATGCAAGTCGTCCAATTAAACTTAAAATCACCACAATGTAATTTTAGTTACAAATAATCCCAAAGGTACTGATCATATTTATACTAAAAAATTACTTATTGGAAATACATATTTCACCAAATACCCTGGCAGCTTTGGCCTTGAGCATGCCTTTCTCCTGGATTCTAATAGAGATCCTCTAGGCTTTTGCTGCCCTGTGAGATAGGGCTGAGTATTGTATGTTTCAGATGCTAAGGCGCTCCAAGCCTTGGGGATCCCTTGCATGAAAACCGGACATGTTTACAGACATATCATGGCCGGTGCCCTGTGTATTTTTTTTCACAGCACAGCTAGTATTTTCTTTTGAAAAACTCTATGTGAACTACACGGCTAAATGGCACAGGTCTGGAAGTTGCACGCTATTTAGGAGTGGGATAAATTGTTATCTAGAGTTTCCTCTGTTGCATTTGGACAGGGCATCAGAAAGCCCGAGGTGTCAGGCAAACAAGAGTAGCAGCCTTCCCCACTATGGAGGGTCCCATGACCTCATGCATGATAGGTATGGTCTCTCCCACAGAACTATACTTTTCAAGTTCCCTGAAAGAAGTAGGCTTAATTTCACCCCACTTCTCATCTTGCAAATGAGAAAAGATACATTACACACTTTAAAAAAACCCAACATCCCAGTTCCTGGACTACTTCCTCTTCCATCCATGCTTATTGATACAGTTGTCCTTCAGCACAATGGTAGGCTTTCATTATAGTAAGTATCTTTTTTAAAGGCTTTAATGTATCTCAGTGGTAAAGTGCATACTTGTCACCTGCAAAACCTGGGTTCAGTCTCCAGTACTCCTCTGTCCCCAAATTTAGATATCTTTATATCTTTGGCTTCATTGTCCCTATATTTACCCTGTATAGCTTCCTGACCTTTACCCCAAGACCTCTCTGTTTTTTACTCTGCCCAGTGGGGAAAACGATTGGGCATAGTTAGGAGCCTGGCCTTTGCCTGCTTCAGCACTGGGCTGTTTCTGCTCTGAGTGGTGTAACTCAGGGTTTGTTTTGCTATCGTGCAGCCAGGAAGGGGTGTTCCTGGCAAGGCTAAGCCTGACCAGCTGTGTGGGTAGAAGGGCATCTTTTCTTGTGTTGCTATAGCACATGCCCTCTTGCATATGACCCGAGGACTTGCCAAACGTCTCGCCTTGAGTCAGATTTTGTAGATACTCCTGATTTGTGCCTGGACCTCTCATTGAACTGGTCTGAGTGCTGAGATTCCTCAGGTTGAGTGCACTAATAAGCCTGCAGCCTTTCTACCGAGACCCAGCATTCCCAGACTAGTTTTATGAGTTAATGAAATAGAGCAGGCTAGAGGTCAGTGGGCTTGGGGTCAGTTGGTGAGACAACCAACTGCCTTCCTTCCTGCCTTCCTTCCTTCCTTCCTTCCTGCCTTCCTTCCTTCCTTCCCTTTCCTTTCTCTCCCTCCCCCCCTCCCACCCTCCCTCCGCCTCTCCTCTCTTTCTTTCTGCAGTAGAAGTGGTAAAAAGGTAGAGCAGAAATGCCAGAAAGGGGCACTTGCCTTGTTGCGAGGACTTGGAAGTAGTGTGTGGGAAAAGAGAGACGCAGGAGACCACTGGGAGGAATAGCCTTCTTTGTGAATAATTAACTCCCAGCCAAAGGACGTGGCCCAGGAGGAGGGTCCACTTAATAGGAACTTTGGACTTGGGGCAGAGTGTCTAGACGACTGGTGTGTGGCCTGCAGAAGAAGAGGACGTGACTGGGCATCAGGGCTGGCCTTGCAGAAGTGGAGTAAGATCAGGTTCGCTGCAGGCTTCAGGAATTCTTCAGCTTCCATTTGGGTGGCTCATTCTCACAGCAATGGCTGTGGAGTCCACCAGCCCTGAGCTCTCAGAGGGGTGGCCGTGATGGTGGGGTTCCGTCTGTGGCCTCAGTCATTGTCCTCCCTCTCTAGGCAGCTATGGATACAAGGCTGTTCTGAAAGAAGTGGGGCATGGCCGCAGCCCTACAGGTCTTGCCTTGTCTCCTCCGAGCCCCATCGCGTCCATTCCTCTGGGGGCCCCCGGTGGCCCGGATGACCAGTGGAATGGCCTTGGCAGAACAGGCACGGCAGCTGTTTGAGAGCGCTGTGGGCGCTGTGCAGCCAGGACCCATGCTGCAAAGGGCACTGTCCTTGGATCCTAGTGGCCGGCAGCTGAAGGTGCGGGACCGGAGCTTTCAGCTACGGGAAAACCTGTACCTAGTGGGCTTTGGCAAGGCTGTACTGGGCATGGCTGCTGCAGCTGAGGAGCTACTGGGCCAGCATCTTGTGCAGGGTGTGATCAGCGTTCCCAAGGGGATCCGGGCTGCTATGGAGCATGCTGGAAAGCAGTAAGAATCCGTGGGCAGGGGCTGCCCTTCACTGCCCTTTGGAGGGAAACCTCTCTCTCCTTGGCCTCCTTATCTCCTGGTCTGGTCTGGTTTCAGGGTAGGTGTCGTGGGCACCCTCACACCCCTCTCACTGTTGAGAGGTCAGGTGGGAGGAGAGGAACCCACCCCGTCCCTTCCCTGTTTGCTCCCTGCTCAGAGAGATGCTGCTGAAGCCACACAGCCACATCCAGGTGTTCGAGGGTGCAGAGAACAACTTACCCGACCGTGATGCACTGCGGGCTGCGCTGGCCATCCAGCAGCTGGCAGAGGGGCTCACAGCCGACGACTTGCTGCTTGTGCTCATCTCAGGTGTGGGTTCCAGAGCAGCTGAGGATGGCTGATGGGGGGGATGCCCCTGATGCCAGAGCTTCCATGCTCACATGGGAGCTCACATGGTCCCGTGGGACCACGGGAGGCAGTGAGGAGCCTAGAGGGAACCTTGTGGGTGGTGTCAGGGCAGTCATCTACCCTGAGTTGTGATGGTGAGGGCACACTACCACGCTACCACGCTACCACATGTCAGAACCTTTGCTGCCTGCAACTGTGTCACTGGGGCTCCACAAGCTGAGTTTCCAGCTCCCACAGAACTCTCTTTGGTTGTCTGCTGTTTTTTTTTTCCCACTTGGTCTTCCTTAGCTCATGCTTTAAGAAATGTATAATTTTCGTGGTGCTGGGGATCGAGTTCAGGGCTTCACACAGGCTGGGCAAACACTCTCCTACTGAGCTATATCCCCAGCCCTCCTAGCATGCTCTGGGATCTGGAGTCTGCTAGCTAGGGGACAGCTTCACTCTGTGTCCACAGGGAGGCACTGTAACTCCACCTTCTTAGTCCGCTTCCCTTGTGGTCCGCCTGGTTCCTTTCTCTTCCCGACGCCCTCACTGGCTCTGCAGGTGGGGGCTCCGCCCTGCTGCCTTCTCCCATCCCGCCTGTCACACTGGAGGAGAAACAGACGCTCACCAAGCTGCTGGCAGCCCGTGGAGCCACAATTCAGGAGCTGAACACCATCCGGAAGGCCCTGTCCCAGCTGAAGGGTGGAGGGCTGGCTCAGGCTGCCTATCCTGCTCAGGTCACTCATTACTTCTTCAGCCAGCCCTGGCTTTCCCACTTGTGACAGGGAGATGGAAGCTTTGGCCGGGTTCTTGTTGGGGATGTCCTGGGAGGAGGGTGAGCTGGAGGCTCCCTGGTAGGTGCTCTGCCAGCCCACCTTGAAAGTGGCCAGAAGTAGATGTGGGCAAGGAAGCATACCTGGTGGTATACATCTAGGACTGGTTTGTCCTTAAGGGCCCTGGGACGTGGAGGAGTCAAGACTGAACCTTATTTTGTGGCCTTTGTCTAGGTAATAAGCCTCATCTTGTCAGATGTGATTGGGGATCCTTTGGATGTGATTGCCAGTGGCCCCACTGTGGCCAGTGCCCACAGTGTGCAAGATTGCCTGCATATTCTTAATCGCCATGGTCTTCGAGCTGCTCTGCCACGTTCTGTGAAGACTGTGCTCTCTCGAGCTGACTCTGACCCCCGTGGGCCACATACTTGTGGTCATGTCCTCAATGTCATCATCGGCTCCAATTCTCTGGCACTGGCTGAGGCTCAGAGGCAAGCTGAGGTACTGGGCTACCGTGCCATGGTGCTGAGCACAGCCATGCAGGGTGATGTCAAAAATGTGGCCCAGTTCTATGGGCTGCTAGCCCGGGTGGCTGCAGCCCACCTCACTTCATCCATGGCTGGGCATCCCTTGGAGGAGGAGGCAAAGCTCCATCAGCTCGCAGCTGAGCTCCAGCTCCCAGACCTGCAGCTGGAAGAGGCTCTGGAAGCCGTGGCAAAGGCTAAAGGCCCAGTCTGCCTCCTGGCTGGTGGTGAGCCCACGGTGCAGCTGCAGGGATCTGGCAAGGGTGGTCGGAACCAAGAACTGGCCTTGTATGTGGGGACAGAGCTGGGAAGACAGCCACTGGGGCCTATTGATGTGCTATTTTTGAGTGGAGGCACTGATGGGCAGGATGGGCCCACAAAGGTGGCTGGGGCCTGGGTCATGTCTGATCTTGTCAGCCAGGCTTCTGCTGAAGGCCTGGACATAGCCGCCTTCCTCTCCCACAATGACTCGTACACCTTCTTTAGCCGCCTCCGGGGTGGAACACACTTGCTGCACACAGGGTTGACAGGGACCAATGTCATGGATGTCCACCTCCTGATTTTTCATCCTCTGTGATGGCATAGCTCGTATAGGAGGCCTGCAAGGGCAGGGTCTCTTAGGAAGATCAAGGGCTGGTCCCCAGGACCTCATTGTGCATTAAGGACTGCCTGTCCCCTTAGCCTGCTCCACTCACCCCTATAGATCTCCACATTCATTCCCCCAACTAGATTATAAGACAAGGGCTCCTTGCCACCTCTGCTTTCTGTCCTGTTAGGGAGCCCTGGGGCCCAGAAGAAGCTTCTGTGGCCAGTTCCCAGTCCTTGTTTCTTCCCCAGGAGCCCATCTGCCCAGATCCTCAGCCTGCTTCTTCCATGGTGTGAAGTTAGGGAGCCTGAAAATAAAAAGGAGCATGTTGTGGGGGTCTGGGGTCCCCTTCCCTCAGTGTTTTTTTTTTCTTTAGTGCAGATCTTTGGGTAGCTGCTGGGGAGGGGGACGCGGTGTGGTCCTGGCAATGGTGCCAGCATCTCACGTTCCTCACCCACTTCTCTGCTGGGTACACAGAGTCTGTTGATGGGAACCTGCGAGGGTTGAATAGGACTCCTAGCAGCCTCAGTGTGGGTGAGCAGGACAGCTTTAAGGATTGTTACCTATTCAGCCATGACTCCCTGTGGCAACCTGAGTCTCCTGCTGGAGCCTGGCTGGGTGGAAATTTTCTACTTGCTACCAAGGATACTCCTTCAGTATTTGGACCACTCTTAGCTTTCCTCCTTTATCTTACCCCCTCTCTATCCAGAGGTTTCTTGAGGCTGCAGGGCATTAGGCTTATTCTCCCATGTCCGTTCCATTTCCCCAGGCCAAATATGCTGTGTTCAGTAGCTGCTCCTCAGGGTACACAGTTGGGATCCCGGTGCCAGCATTTTAGCATACGTCGTCTCTAGGACTAAAACAGTAGGTCAGAGCGGTGAAGCAGTTCAGCCGTCCTCACCCTGTCCTGTTATAGCTGTCAGGCCCGAGTCCCTTGGGTTGGCCTGCAGCCACTGACCTCGCTCCCCTTGAGCCTTCATGCTCAGTATCAGAGCCCTCCGTTGGCTATCCTCACCGTGCGCCACGGCTCCAATCCCTATATGAGTGAGCAATAGAATCACATAGGAATAAAAAGCCATAGAGAACAGTGAGGCCTGGGGCTGCTCCTATGGCCCCTCTTCCACTGTGAGGGTATGCAGGGCTCTAGGTCACAGCTGATGTGTCCTGGGAAGAGCCACCATTCTCCATGGACTCTGGACATTTTGGTTAGCAGTTGGGCTGTGATCCCCATACCTAGATCCTGCATGTTTCAGAGACTGGGAGGGAGGGAGGCAAGGTGAGCTGGCTCTGAGGACCAGAGAGCTTTAGGGGGAGTGTAGTGGTGTGTACCATTTTCTTTCCTGGTGGCAAAGTCGTAGGGAATTTTGTCTTTACATTGGCATCCTCCAGAGGTATCCTGCCTTAGGAATGTATTCCCATTGGACACGAAGTTGCAGGCAAGAGCTTCAAGAGAAGAGGGCTGGGGACTAAGGACTTGTCAGCCACATTCTCAGTGTCTTTGTGTGATGAGCATGTGAGCATGGGACATAAGTCAGAATGCCTGTAATAGCGTTCCCGCAAGTGCTTTTCAGAGTAGGGTTGCTTATGGGTATGGCTGCCTCCATTGCCTGCCGAGGGCTTTACATATGGACAGAGTCTTGCTGGAGTTCCCCTCGTCTGCCTTGGTCTCCTTTCCTGTACCTGTGTTTTCATAGCCTGGGAGCCAGAGTCTGAATTGGGCCCCCTCAGAGCAGACAGTTGGTGGGCTTAACTCACTGTTTTTGCTCAACTACACATTTGCTCAGTCTAGATGATAAAAATGGGCAAATTCCTTACACTCGGTGCTCAATACCCTCCCCCCCCAATCAATGTCAGTTATGTAGCTGCGCCTGGTGGCACAGGTCTGTATATCCCAGGGTACTTGAAAGGCAGGATGATTGAGAGTTCTTGGCTAGCCTGAGTTACAGAGAGAATTCAAGGTCAGCCTAGGCAATTAAGTGAGATGCCATTACAAAGACCTTTAAAAAGAAGGCTGGGAATAGTCAATGGTGCTTACTATTGGAGCATGTTCAGTTCCCAGCACTGAAAAGTAAAATAAATGGATGAATGGCTAAATACACATGAGTCTTATCAATTATGGATTGTTGAAGGTATTCCCCTTTTTTGGCTTTTGGCTGCCATTTCTCCTGACTCAGGTTTCTGCTCCCAAATCCCCATCTCCTTTTCATGTGCTGACACTTTCCATGGCTAGAGGATTGTTCCATGAGGGTGCCCAGCCTTCCTTTACCTGAGAGTCTCCTTGTCCTCTGCACTTGGCATGAACCGTGGGGTTGGAGAGCCTGAGGGTCTGGGGTCAGCTTATCTAAACCCATTTGTCCTGTAGCTGGAGAATTAGAGAAGATGATCTGTCTGGAGGATAAAGCAAGTTAGTCACAGACCCAGCATGAGAACTTGGTTTAGACCCTTTTGGTCATTTTCTGCCACCCTTTGGGGCTCAGATACCCTGGGGAGCCAACCCAAGGTTCAGGCAGAGTTAGGGGATGTACCTTTATTTTCCTTGTTGCCCTTCAGGGGTTTGAGGACGGTCATGTGACCATACTTAGCTTCTTTAGGGATCTGTAAAGCAGATTTGTTGACCCCTTTGTAGATGGTAGGGCAGTGTGATGATTTGGTAGAAAACCCCATGCATGTGAATGGCAGGCATACACCTAGTGTGCATGTGTAGGAGTGTGTGTCCAATGCAGCCTCCAACCAGCCACCTAGTAGGCCTCCACACTGCTCCATGGCAAGGTGCAGGCAGTGTAGAGTAGTTAGAATGTCAGGGATGGGCAAAGAGACCTTAAAGGCTGTCTGGCAGAGGTAGGGTGGCAAAGAGCCTCATGGGCCTGGCTGGGGGAGGTCCCCTTACTTTGGTAACACAGGCAAGGTTCATGAAGATGTTAGCAGGGAGTGATACCAAGAGGAGGTGGCAGGATTGATGGGAGAGGGCAGAGGATGAAGGTATGCGAGAAGGTAGGAGGGTTCCAGGTGGAGACACACCATGTGGCTTCCAGCCCTTCCTCCCTTCCTTTTCCACCTTTGCAAGTTCCTTATGGCCTCAGCCCTGTAGCCTTCATCTAACCTTGGCAACTCTGTTACAATTTATTTCTTTTGAGACAGGGTCACTTTGTAGCCCTGGTTGGCTTTCAACTCACAGAGATCCATGGGCCTCTGTTTGCCCATTGCTGGGATTAAAGATATACCACCGTGCCCAGTTCTTTGGCAACTCTTTAGATGCCCACTTTGGAATCAAGATGAAAGCCCTGGTTCAAACATCCTTGGGAATGAATGAGCCCCTCTGCCCATGGGCATGTCATCAGTGCCTTGAAGATGTGGGGGGCAGAGGGTCTGGAAATTAGTGTATCCATTAGAGGGTATGGAGAGTCTGTGTTCATATAGAATCTCACTACAGTAGCACTTAAGGGGCCTGGAAGGCACGTTAGAGTGGGAGTCAGGTCCAAGGCCCTTGTCCTGGCCTCCATACCTTTCTTTCTGCCTTTTTCTGATGCAGACAGTGTTTGTGTCTTGCTCACCTCTGGTTGGGACAGGGTGATTAGCAGCAGGGGGATCTCAATGGGAAAGTACTATGCAAACAGGAAGCTCAGGGAGAGAAAGGGGGAAAAAAAAAGGAGTGGGGGTGGGGGTGGGGTAGACAGATGGGGCTGTAGAGATGGCTGCTCTTCCAGAGGACCTGAGTTCAGTTCCCAGCTTCCACACGGCAGTTCACAACTGTCTGTAACTACTGTTCCAGGGATCTAGCACTCTCTTCTGGTCTCTGTGAGTACCAGGCATACACATGGTGCAATAATACATATATATACACACACATATAGTCTACAGCCATACCATCCTGAACACGCCCGAACTCGTCATATACATACATACATACATGCAGGCAAACCACTTATACACATAAAATAAAAAATTGAAAGTCTTTAAAAAATAGATAAAAATCTGTAAAAAAAAAAAAAAAATCCTAGATTTTAGTATCTTCTAAAGGTACCTGTAAGGAGATCTCAGTTTAGAGAGGCCTCTTCTTGCCAGAAAGGGCCAAGATTATAGCCAGCAGGACATTGGTGTTCATGGCCTGAGGCCAAACAAGCCACCTGTCACCTATGTCCTCTAATATTAGAAAGACATTAGCTGGCCTTTTTTATTTATTTATTTATTTATTTATTTATTTATTAAGACAGAGTCTCATATAGCCCAAATTGGCCTTGAACTTGAGTTGTAGCCAAGCGTGATTTTGAATTTCTCCATCTCCCTTTCTGCATCTCATGAGTACTGGGATTATAGATGTGTGCCATCATCACAGTTTTATGTGGTGTTGGGGATCACACCCAGGGCCTCATGAATGCTAGCTGAGTACCACCAACTGAGTTAAATCTCCAGTCCCCCCTCCTTAGTGTGTGTGTGTGTGTGTGTGTGTGTGTGTTCAGGAGTGTCTGTCAGTGGGCCACACCTCCAGTTCAGGGACGGTATTTGAGCTATGACAGGGTCCAGCAGCTGAGGAGGGCTAGCTGGAGCTAGAATCAGCTGCCTACCTAGCAGGAAGATGATCCCCTGAGGTCTCAGGCAAAAGGACAGAGAATTCTGCCTCCCTCTGAGTTTGGTTTGGGTATGAGGAACATAGGCCCAGATTGGGGAGGGGACAGCTGGCCTGGCTGCAGGCTGGATTAGAGGATTTGGAGTATGATATGGGTAGAGATGGGTTGTGCATGCGGTGGGGAAGGCGTGAGCCCTGATACCCAATGACTTAGGTAGACTTCCACATCAGATGGAGCTGTAGTGAGCTGTGCCCAGCCTGGGAGGGGTAGTTTTCTCCAAGAGGCAGGGCTGCCTTAGGGTCACACCTCTTAGGTAATCACTGTGTCAGTCTTGAGGCTTTGCTTGCCCTCCTTCCCCTTGGCTGTAGTGGCTGGAAGGTATGGGCTGAAAGTGGAAATTTGGTCAATAGCAACTACACCAGCTCCATCTGGGGTGCAGTGGTGTTAGGATCAGTGGTGGCAGCTGCTGCTCTACTAAAATGGCATTCTGGTCAAGGATGAGGGAGATTTAGCTTCTGCAAATGTGTGCCCTAGGTGCACAGTTTTGGCCACCACCCTTAGTAACTGTAACTCATGGGATCATATCCACCTTCATGATCTGGTCTACAGGGAGCTGTAGAATCTGGTCCTACCCCAAACAGGCAACCTGGGACCTTTCCCCAGAGTGTACCCCATTGGGAAGGTCCTCTGAGGGTCACCACTCTCCTAGTCTTTTCTGGCTCTCCTGAAACCAGCAGAGCTCTTGGGACTATGAGCATTTCCGTCTTGTTCCCAGGCAGAGCTAGCCCTGCC